AAAAAAAAAACAATTTAGAAAAAAGGGAAAAGGATGAAAGGTATAGAAATTAAGAGAGAACGGAAACCACATGAAAGAAGTATATACGAAAAGAAAGAATATATATATATATATATATTCTCTCATTCTCTTCTCTTTCACATGGTTCCTTCCCTTTCTTAACTTCACTCTCTCATCCTCTCATCCTCATTCCAATAATTCTCTCTCCTCTCTCCTCTCCTCCTCTCTCTCTTTTCTTCCTCGTCTCTCTCTCTCTCTCTCTCTATTCATCGTCGTCACCGCCGGACTTTGCCTTCTTTGCGGCCTTCGCCTTCACACGCTTCACACGTCCCCAGCGGCCATTACCGAAGGGTGAGGCATCCGCAAAGGCGATGTGGTGCTCAGAGCTCACACGCACAATAAAAGAGGGAATAGTGACGATCTGCTTGGCGACGGCAATGTGGCGCTGCTGGATGAGCACACGGGCGTGGTGAACAGACTTGGCGAGTCCATGCTTGAAGACAACAGTCTGCAGACGGCGCTCGAGAATATCGGGGACGGTGAGGGACAGCACGTAATCGAGCTTGTCCTTCTCCTCGTCGAGGAATCCATACTCGTGGCACCGGCGCATAATAGCGGAACCCTCCAGCAGACGGCGTGGGTGGTTCTCCGGCAGTGTGAGCAGCAGACGGGCGGTACGGCGCATCTTGGAGAGGGTCATGTTCACGCGCCAGATCTCACGCTTGCAGCGGAGACCGTACTGGCCGCAGAGCTTCATCTCACGGTCGAGGCGTTCCTTCTCGAACGGGCGGCGGGGGGCCTTCCAGACGCGGTTGAAGTTGTTGTAGTTGCGCATATTGTTTTTTTTTTACTTGGTTGGTTTGGTTGGTGTGTGATTTAGATTTCTTTAGCGGTTGGCTACAACGGCTGCAGGAATGTACGGATTAGTAACCCTTCTGCTTAGAATATAATATATTTATATTTATATTTATATGTATATATATAGTGTGAGTGAGTGTGTGTGTGAAGGTAGATAGATAGATAAAAATAAAACAATGGAAGGAAAAGAGTATTATATAGATATAGATAGATAGATAAAGAAAAGAAGCAGAGATCAAATGTGTGTGAAACAACCACAATCCCTTACAATAAAATATAGAGAGAGAAAATAGCACTCTAACACATCACTTTTTTTTTGGTTGTTTATTACAGGCAAATCACTACAGCACTTCCTCAAAGAAAACTTTCGCAAACATATATGGTTTTCAATGCAATGGTTGGGAAAACAAAAGGAAGAAAAATACAAAAAAAAGAAAGAAAGATGTAACATAAACGGAGAAAGAAAAAAACAGGTCATCTCCATCTCTCAGATTTCCACACATCTTCCAATCACTATTTTCTTTCTTTTTTTTTTTTTCTTTTTCTATGGTTCATGCTACTTATTACTCTACTACAAATATAATGGCAGCACACCCCATTTTTTTTTTTTCTTTTGATTGGAAATATTTTCTTTCTTTTTTCTGTCTGTATACTTGCATATATTCACACAGACATCTCATTTCCCCATCACTTCCTTCCTTCCTTCCTCTCCTTCCTCACCGCCTGCGAATAAACTTCATATAGAATAATAGGATATCCAGCAGCAGCAGTACTACGAGCACCAATCCCTTCACGGCCCACTCTCTGTATACACTCAGTCGAATATCTCGAATCACCCGCCGTGCGCCCATCAACTCCTCGCGAGTGCCGTCCACACTTTCAATTGTGCGCCCAATACACTCCCGCTGTCGGCCGAGTTGCTGCAGTGTGGAGTATCCCGTGTCATTCGTCGCCTCACTCATTCGCAGCGCACGCAGAAGATTGGCGTTCGTCTCTGCCGCCAGTCGATTACTACGGGCCGCAACAACAGTAGGATTCTCCTCACCAAACTTGTTGTTATTACTGTTATTATTATCACTGTAGTGATTCATTCCACTCGTGTTGTATGAATTGTGTTTGCCGTTGTTACTACTGCTGCCAATTTCAATACTAGTGGTGGTGTGGGCAGCGTTACCACTATTGCCCCCAATGCCGGCCGCAGTGTTTCTCTTCATGCTTTCAACGACATGGTCAGCCTGATCCATTTCTTTTCCTCCTGTTCCTCTCATTTCTTTTTTTTTTT